TTCCTTCTGTTTTGGACTTTATTTTTTTCTAGTTCCTTGTGGTATAAGGTTAGGTTGCATGTTTGAGATCTTAATTTTTTCTTAATGTAGGTATTTATCACAATAAAGTTCCCTCTTAGGGTTACTTTAGCAGCATCCCATAAGTTTTGGTATGTTGTGTTTCCATTTTTATTTGTCTCAAGATATTTTTTGATATCTCTTGATTTCTTCTTTGACTCATTAGTTATTCATGAATGTGTTGTTTAATTTTCACATATTTGTGAATTTTCCCCTTTCCTTCTGTTAAAAATTTCTAATGTCATACCAATATGTCAGAAAAGATACCTGATATCATTTCAATCTTCTTATGTTTGTTAAGACTTGTTTTGTGATGCAACATGTGATCTATCCTGGAGCCTATTCCATGTGCACTGACAAGAATGCGGATTCTACTGTTGTCGAATGAAATGTTCTGTATATGTCTGTTAGGTCCATTTGGTATAAAGTGTTGTTCAAATCCATTATTTCCTCAGTGATTTTCTGTCTGGATGATCTATTCATTGTTGAATAGTAGGGTATTGAAGTATCCTACTACTATTGCATTGTTGTCTATTTCTGCCTTCAGACCTGTTAATGATTATTTAATATGTTTAGGTCCTTCAATATTGAATGTTTATATATTTACAAATGTTACATCCCCTTGATGAATTGGCCCCTTTATCATTATGTAACAACATTGTCTCTTATTATAGCTTTTAACTTAAAATCTATTTTGTCTGATATAACTACTCCTGATCTCTTCTAGTTTTCACTTCCGTGGAATAATTTTTTCCAACTCTTCACTTTCACCCTAATTGTCTTTAAACCTTAGGCAAATCTGGGTGGCTCAGTTGGTTAAGTGTCTGACTCTTGATCTCAGGGTCATGAGTTCAAGCCTCCTACTTGAAAGAAAAGGAAGGAAGGAAGGAAGGAAGGAAGGAAGGAAGGAAGGAAGGAAGGAGCTTAAGTGAATCTCTTCTAGGCAGCATATAGTTGGGCTATTTTTTTTTTTATTCCCCCACTTTATGTCTTTTAAATGGCGAATTTAAATCATTCACACTTAAAGTAATTCTTGATAGGTAAGAACTTAATTGATAGTAAAGACTATCATTTTGTTAATTGCTTTCTGATTGTTCTGTATTTCCTTTGTTCTTATCTTCCTCTCTTGCTGTCTTTCTTTGTGAATTGACGATTCTATTTTTTATAGGGGTATGCTTTGATTTTTTTCTCTTTACCATTTGTGTGTCTCTTAAAGACTTGTGCCTGAATTGCCATAGGGCTTTCAAAATAGTTATAACAGTCAACTGCATAAAATGTTCTACACGTTTACTCCTCACCCCCACATATGTTTCATGTTGTTGGTATCTCAATTTACTTCTTTTTCTATTTTGATTTCCTTCTTTTCAACCTATTCCAATCTGGCTTGCCTCTCATCAGTCCACTAAAATTCTCGCTAAAGTCATCAGTTTCCTTCTTGATTCTGAATGCAAATGACTTTTTAAAAATTAACAATTTTTTAGAGAAAAGTTTGAGGTTCACAGCAAAATTGAGCAGAATATACAGAGTTCCCATACAGCCCTTGACCCTATATATACAATCTCCCTTATTTTACATACTGCACCATAGCGTTACATTTATTAAGATAGTTAAAACTATACTGCTACGTTATTTTCCTTTTCCCTGAAGAACTTCCTTAGTATTTCTTACAAGGTAGGCCTACTGGCAACAAATTATAATTTTTCTTTGTCTGAGAAAGTCTTTAATTCTCCCTCATTTTTGAAACATAATTTCATGAGGTATAGAATTCTAGGTTGGTGGGTTTTTTCTCTCAGGACTTTAAATATTTCACTTCACTCTTTTTTGCATGATAGTTTCTACGGAGAGATCTGTAATTCTTTGTTCTTTGTTCTTTTGCTCTTCTTTGCTCTTCTATAGGCAAGGTGTTTTTCCCCTCTGGCTTCTTTCAAGATTTTTTTCTTTCTTCCAAGATGTTTGAATATGATAAATCTAGGTATAGTTTTGAGGGCATTTATCTTGCTTGGTGTTCTTTGAACTTCCTGAGTCTATGATTTGGTATCTGACATTAATTTGGGGAAACTCTCAGTCACTATTGCTTCAAATATTGTTTCTGTGCCTTTCTATGTCTCTTCTCCTTCTGGAATTCCAATTATGTGTATGTCACACCTTTTGTAGTTGTGCCACAGTTCTTGAATAGTCTATTCTTTTTTTCAGTCTTTTTTCTCTTTGTTTTTTATTTTTGGAAGCTTCTACTGCCATATCCTCAAACTCAGGTATTCTTTCTTCACTATGTCCAGTCTACTAATGAGTCCATCAAAAGCATTCTTCATTCTTGCTATAGTATTTTTTATTTCTAGCATTTCTTTTTTGATCTTTCTTAGAATTTCCATCTTTCTGTTTATATTATTCATCTGTTCTTTCATGCTGTCTCCTTTTTCCTATAATGCCCTTAGCATATCAATCATAGTTATTTAAAATTCTGGTCTGAACATTCTAATACTACTGCCATATCTGACTCTGGTCCTGATGTTTATTCAGTCTCTTCAAAATGTGTTTTGTTGTTGTTGTTGTTGTTGTTTTGCCTTTTATAAGCCCTGTAATTTTTTGCTAAAAGGTAGACAGGATATACTGGGTAATAAGAACTGTGGTGGATAGGCCTTTAGTAATGTAGTGGCAAGGTTTAAGTCACAGTGCTATGATTAGGTCTTTTTTGTTGAGCCTTTACCCCTGGAGGGTAAAATTCACCAGTTATTTCTTAATCCCCACACCTCCTTAGGTGGGACAGGACAGGTAGAGAGAGCTGTATCTGGATATTTCCATTCCTCCATGTGGAAGGCCAGAGAGAGCTGGAATTGCAGTATTTTCCTTTCCTCATTTGAAAAAGCAGAGCTGGCTGAAGTTGGGTATTTCCCTTCCCCAAGGTAGGTCAGGCTCTACTAAAACCCCAAGTTAGGCTCTGGTAACATACATTCTTCTGAGGGAAGGTTTTGTTAAGAACAGAATACCCCAGTATATTTCAAAATGGTTCTTTTCCTCTTCCCATTACCAAAAGCATGAAGGGATTTTTCTCAGATATTGACTGTGAGGATCTGATAGAGGTCCTTCCTAAAGATAAAACTCAAAAAAGTGTCGAGGCCCCCTGATGACTGTGTCCCTCTTGAGTTTTTAACTCTCAGCGTTGTCCTCACTGAGCTCTAGCAATTCATCAATCACACCAGCACTGATTTTTCCATCCCAGCACTGGTTCTCTGGGAGATTTCTGTTCAAGTGTTTTTGCTCTGATAAGTCATGATTTTCTGTATCCACCTGTCTGTCTTTCCAAATATTAGTGCAGCACTTTGGCCTATGACATTATTTATCTGACATATCTAAAAAGACTTGTTGATTTTTAACTTTGTTCAGGTTTTTTTTTTTTAAAGATTTATTCATTTGTTTTAGAGAGAGAGAGAGCACAGGGGGTGGGAGGAGAGGGAGAGAGAGTCTCAGGCAGACTCTGCACAGAGCCCAGAGCCCAACTCAGGGCCCAATCCCATGATCCCAAGATCACCACCCAAGCAAAAACAAAAAGTCGGACACTCAACTGACTGTACCACCCAGGCGCCCCTTTGTTCAGGTTTTTACTTGTTAGGCCAGAGTGTTGACTTCTAAGTTCCTTACATGCTAGACCAGAAACTGGAAGTCCTCCAATTTTGCAAAGTTCTTTGTAACACTGGGATTCCAAGCAAAATTCAAGATTGTTAACCACTTCCCCTTTTAGGAGTAAATATTCTTGTCTCTTGGCTTCTATGATACCATATTCTGTTCATTTTCCTCCTTTTCTCTGTCCACTCTTTTCTACCTGACTGTAGAGTATTCCAAGGAATGATCCTGGACCCTTTTCTCTTCCTCACTCTGTAGAAATACATTCTTTCTCAGGTGCTTTCATCTATTTCTATTAACTTAAAAATATCTAGAACACTGTACACTTATGCTTTCCTAAACTGCCGATTTATAGCCAATGGTCCTTACAACTTTTTCATTTTCATGTACACTCAGACCTCCTGCCTCTCCTATCATACTAAATAGCACCTTTAGCCACCAAAACTGCTTAAGACAAAAACCTAGAAGTCTTTTTTGATACCTCACTCCTTCAGCTTCTATCTCCAATTCAAGAATTCTACAGGCAAAATTATCTTGAATCCATGCATATTTCTCATCTCTCCTACAAAATATCCTTGTCAAGGCCACCACAATCTTGCACCTACAATATCTGTAACTTCATACTAAGGAATCTTCCTACTGAGACTCTTGCCCTTTTTCAATTTTGTTTTTTTACCCAATGTATACAATGACAGTAAAGTGTAGTGGAAAGAATACAGATGTAAGCTCCAGAAAGACCTGCCACAAACTCCCCAAACACACTAATTAATATCTAAACCTCATTTTTCTTAGCTATAAAATAGGTGAAAACAAAGCAAAACAAACAAACAAAAAACTCACCTGGTAGGAATGCTATAAGGAAAAGATACAATTTGTAAAAAGTGCTTAGAATAATGCTTAGCATTGAATAGTCACTAAAAGAGTGGCTCCTGTTACATACAAAATAAACCTCAAATTTCTCCCCAAAGACCTCTAGATTCTGGGCCTAACGTACTAATTCACAAATACTCCTCAGCAGAAATCACTGCTCTGGCTACACAGCAAATGTCTTATTTTTACCTTAAATTAATGTTTACCTTAAATTAATAGACATCCAATTATCCAAAAGGAATTTGGAAAAACTGTAAACTTTAATTCTCTTTCATTAAACTTATATAGAGTATATATTCATGTAACAGTAATGTAATTAATTACTAAGTTTAAAAACTGTTTGAAATTATTGACTTCAATAGCTGAAAAGTAATTCCTATAAAACTGTTGGTTAAGAATATGTTCTATATTAATGAAATTTATGATTTATATAGTTTTTCTGCTTCAACACTTGCTTTTTTCTTTGTTTTTCCAGGGGCTGAAGGGTAAGTTTTCTCAGCAAGTAAAACTTCACAAGCTGCATTATCTGTAAAGAAAAAGATGCTTCAATATTTTAATTATTTAACATCTCATTAACTGTAAGTACAGAAAGTAGAATTCAAATTTGAAAAAAAAAAACCACCCTGATTTTAAGGGTTGTCTTTGAAATAGTTTTAAAAGAAAAGCTTAACATATGTTGAATAACCTGACTTACTGCAGATAGAGTTTTATTTTAAGAGCTCTAGGTTTCACATGAGTAAATAAGCTCTACGTAAAATATTTACTTTTCATTTAGTACAGAAGGTTGCATGTGATTAAAATTCTTCATTAATTATCCTTCCATTTCCACTCTCCTGTATTTTCAGGCTCTCTCTTTTTACTGCAAATTTTCTATTAGCATTTAAAATATAGTCAGGACTCTTTCATCTTACCAAAAACTTTATCTGTACCCCATACTCCTTCCTGCTACATCTTTTTTTTTCCTTTTCTCCATGGGCATGTTTCTTCAAAGAGCTGTCCACATATACTAACATAACTTCCTCTCCTCCTGTTTACTCCCAAACCCACAGCAATCTAGTTTCAGGTCCTACCTTTATGAACAGAAACCCTTCCTGTCCTACCTTACTGGACATCAGTACAACAAACATGAACATTTTCCCTCTGGCCCCTTTTATGACTCCTCTTCAGTCCTGACTCTTCTCTTTTTTTCACTCTCCAGGCTCAATCCAAGGCAACAAATATCTAGTCTGCTATGTGGCAATGTTACTACTATGAGTATTGCAAATTTGGCTTTTCTTTATTCTTAACACTAGTACCTTGCTTTAAGTCAACATGAGATTTCCCTTTGAATTATTTCAATAGCTTTTCAACTCAGCTCCCTCTGCAGTCCACTGCCCACATAATATATCTAAAACACAAGTTTAATATCATCTGCTTAAAACTCTTCCAAAGCTTTACACCGTATTCAAGTTAAAACTCAAGCTTCTTAACTCAGCATACAAAATCCTGGTTTTTATGATCTCTGCCTATATACTTCTATATTCCCAGCCTCACTGCAAAGGCTAAAGGTATTCTATTTTTCTCTCTTATGCAACATCCAGCCTCATCAGAAAATCCTGGCACATCTGCTTTAAAATATATTTCAAATCAGACCGCTGCTCCCACTTTAATCTCATATACCACTATCTGACCACCACAATAGTTTAACAGGGTCTATTTGCTTTCACTTGCCATCTTAGTCCATCTTAGTAGCCAGAGTGATAATTCAAAATACATATCTAGTCATGTCATCCCTTTGATCTAAGATGTGTTTCTTGGCACATTTAGAATAAAACCCCTACCTCTTATGATGGCATAGGAGACTCTACATTATATCATTTGATTACTCCTGAACACAATTGAAGTCATTCTTTTTTTTTTTTTTTACTCATTTTGCTCCAGTCATTCTAACCTCTCTTCTATTCTTCAAACATGCAGAGCTCATTCCCATCTCCTAAACTTTTCTCTTGTTGTTCCCTTTGCCCAGCATGCTCTGTCACAGATTTTCATATGACCCACTCTCTCACTTCATTCAAGCTCTATACAAATGTAATCTCCTCAGAGAGGCCTGTCCTATTACCTTGTCTAAAATAGCATCCCTAGTCACACTCTGTTTTTACCCGCTTTATTTTCCTTCAATACTCTTATTCCTGACATTGTTCTATATTTACTTATTTAACAGTTTATTATCTTTCTTCCTCTACTATAACATAGCTCTTTTAGGGCAAGGACTCTGTCATGTTCCTCAGCAGCTAAAATACTTTGTGTCACACTGTAGGTGATTAATAAATATTTATTGAATGAATGGAATTAATGAATGATAATATGAGGTGTCTCTGAAACATCCAAGGGGAGATGTTTAGAAGGTAGCTGCATATAAGGGTCTTAGCCTCAGAGGAGAGTCTTTAATGAGAGAAAACTTGGAAACCTTGTTTTTTATAGGACACCTATACATATCAGGGGGCAAATTTTAAAAAGATTAAAATCTAGGAACTAGCCTTGAATAACTCCCACATTTAACCACTAACAGTGGTAGATAAGATTGCAAAGGACCTGGAATTACCTGAGAAGTAATTTCTTGTTTATTTGTTTGTCTCTATGATTAGACTATTTTCTAACATTTAGTAAAGAACCTGACCTACAATTGGAACAAAGATAGATTTGTTGAATTAAGGAAGTAAAAAATACCACTTGAGCAAGATGTGACTTAATTTTAAATTTCAATCAATCAACCACATAAAAGTAAGAATACAAAAGCATACATAATTCCAGAATCACTATTCTCTCTTACTATAAGGCCTTATAAAAAACATTTTCTACAGCCAAAGCAAAATTTTTTATTGGGCAAGGCCTAAGTAAAATCATGATTGTTTTTGGTACCCTTACCACTTTCCCTTTCATAATCTCTCTTCTCTTGTTCACAAATGCCCTAACTCTTAGATCTATAAAACAAATCCCCCTTCTAATGTTCACCCTACAGGGTAGTAGATGCTAGCTATTCCTTTAAAAGATGTGTGCTTTTACAAGTTTAGTTTTTATCACTTGATTAATTTCCCTCAGCACAGCAACTATTTGGGCACCTGGGTGGCTCATTTGGTTAGGCATCTGCCTTCGGCTTAGGTCATGATCCCAGGGTCCTGGGATTGAGCCCATATCAGGCTCTCTGCAGAGAGCCTGCCTCTCCCTCTCCTTCTGCCTGCTGCTCTGCCTGCTTGTGCTCTCTCTCCCTCTCTGTCAACTAAATAAATAAAACCTAAAAAAAAAAAAAAAAGAACAGCAACTATTTTAATCATTTTTATACCGAGAATTCCTAACATAAATCCTGGCATATAGAAAATACTCATTAAGAGAATTTCTTAAAGTGAAGATTATGTAAAAAAAAAAAAACTTTTTTTGTTTCTATAAACATACCTATTAAGAGCAAAACCAGCAATTCTTCAAGTTTAACCAAAAACAGATGCTATAAAGCTTGATTCAGGAAATAAAAATAGCAATCTGAGATACAGCATGGATTAATAAGATTGGAAATGTTTCACTAAGTTTATCCTAATAATAAATTAAATTATAGAGTGTCTATAATGCAAGGGTACTATGTTATTTTTATTTTCAATCATCACATATAATTCCAATATATTTGTTTATTGATTATCTTCCTTTCTCATGACTGAAACTTAGGAGGCAAGGATTTTATATCACTCTTCACTGGTATATATAATAATGCCTAATACAGAGTACATACTCAGTAAATATTTATGAAATGAATTACTGAAGGGTGTTATAGGGATAGTTAAGACACACATTCTAATTTCACATATCTTCATTTTTTAAAATACAACCAAGCTAAAAAGCACTCAGTTTCCTGGGCTACCATTTTTCTCAAAATATGCTACACTGTCACAAAAATAAAGAAATACAGAATTATGAAAATGATTAGTTTCACTATTTATTACCTGATTCTGAATGTGAAGTACTCTTTGGTTTTAGAGAAATATTTTGGTCTGCTAACATCATCACTCTATAATAAGAACAAATTAATTAATAATTAAATTATTCTCTTAATCTTTCAGTAACTTTTGAGAATCTTCAAATAATACTTACAACAATAACATTTATATTTGTATCAAATATCCTGTAGAAAAAATATAACTGGTTAAAAAATGTTCCTGTATCTATATGAACAAATAGTTTAATAATAAAAGGCCATGTATTTATACATTTTTCAGTGTGAGACAATACAAATAGAGGACAAGGTATAGTGTTCAGAATGAGACAGACCTAGGGTTAAAGCCCAATTCTTCAACTCACACTTGAGTGGCCTTGGAAATTTACTTAACTTGTCTTGATTCTTGGTTCCCTCATTTATACAAAAAGAATGGCAATCTTGTTTCCTAGGGTTCTTGTGGTAATGATCTCAAGTAACATGAGAGATAATACTTTTTCAAAATTAATATCCTTTTCTCTCTCTCTTTTAAAGATTTTATTTATTTACTTATTTATTTGAGAGAGAAAGCACACGAGCACAAATATTAATTTTCAAAATTAATATCCTTTTCTCTCTCTCTTTTAAAGATTTTATTTATTTACTTATTTATTTGAGAGAGAGAGCACACGAGCACAAGTGGGGGCAGAGGAAGAGGGAGAGGGAGAAGCAGACTCCCTGCTGAGCAGGGAGCCCAATGCATGGCTCAGTCCCAGGACACTGGGATCATGACCTGACCTTAACTGCTTAACCAACTGAGCCACCCAGGCTCCCCTATCCTTTTCTCTTTTACAAATGACACCACCCCCAATTCTACTGAAATGTGTATGAGAGGATTACAAGAGGAATACCAAAGGATCAAGGCTCAGCCTCTGACCACCAAAACGGGATTTCTGAATCCCTAGTAAGACAATGGAGTTGAAAACCAAATGTGAGAAGATGATTTTCTAAATTCCTATTGCTGGCTTATTGAACAATTGAATTCAGTAAGGAAAAAACAATTTTAGGCAAGGGAAGCAAAGGCAAAAATGAACTACTGGGGCTTCATCAAGATAAAAAGCTTTTGCACAGCAAAGGAAACAGCTGACAAAACCAAAAGACAACTAACAGAATGGGAGAAGATATTTGCAAATGACATAACAGATAAAGGGCTAGTATCCAAAATCTATAAAGAAATTATCAAACTCAACACCCAAAGAACAAATAATCCAATCAAGAAATGGGCAGAGGACATGAACAGACATTTCTGCAAAGAAGACATCCAAATGGCCAAAAGACACATGAAAAATGCTCCACATCAGTCGGCATCAGGGAAATCCAAATCAAAACCACAATGAGATACCACTTCACACCAATCAGAATGGCTAAAATTAACAGGTCAGGAAATGACAGATGTTGGCAAGGATGTGGAGAAAGGGGAACCCTCCTACAGTGTTGGTAGGAATACAAGCTGGTGCAGCCACTCTGGAAAACAGTATGGAGGTTCCTCAAAAAGTTGAGAATAGAGCTACCCTATGACCCAGCAATTGCACTGCTGGGTATTTACGCCAAAGATGCAAATGTAGTGATCCAAAGGGGCACCTGCACCCCAATATTTATAGCAGCAAAGTCCACAATAGCCAAACTATGGAAAGAGCCCAGATGTCCATCAACAGATGAATGGATAAAGAAGTTGTGAGATACACACACACACACAATGGAGTATTATGCAGCCATCAAAAAATGAAATCTTGCCATTTGCAACAACGTGGATGGAACTACAGGGTATTATGTTAAGCGAAATAAGTCAATCAGAGAAAGACAATTATCATATGATCTCACTGATATGTGGAATTTAAGAAACAAGGCAGAGGATCATAGGGGAAGAGACGAAAAAATGAAACAAGATGAAACCAGAGAGGGAGGGAGACAAACCATAAGAGACTCTTAATCATAGGAAACAAACTGAGGGTTGCTGGAGGGGAGAGGAGTGGAGGGATGGGTTAACTGGGTGATGGACATTAGGAGGGTATGTGTTGTAATGAGCCCTGGGTATTATATAAGACTGGTGAATCACAGACCTGTACCCCTGAAAATCAATAATACATTATGTTAATTTAAAAAAAAAGAAAATATTGATGAAGGAAAAAAAACCAATTTTATTCTATTCTATTTCCTCTTTAAATTAATCCTGTCAAAAATAGTACTTTCTTGCCCCTGAATGAACTTGCAGGTGTATTCCATTGTTTTTGTGGTATTCTCTTGTACAAAACAGTCATTTTGGGGTAATAAAAAGCCCAGTGTAATATCACAACACCAAACTCTTATTATCTGATTTATATTTCATCCTTTTCTCAACTTAGGACAGAATTAGACTCAAAACCTGCAGTGAGGAAATCAACCATGGTTGGTTTCTCCTATATTTCTTGTTCTTTTTCCTCCCCTGTTTGGGAGCTACTCTTTGGGTTCCTCTGGCATTGGAGTAGGGGAAAGGAGTTGTAGAAAGGGACATAAAACGTCTTTCTTGATTTTGACTGACACTATTATAACATGCCATTGATACCCTCTGGGTCTGACAGATAACCAAATGCTGACTCTTTCAAACCTGAAGTATTTTGAAGGGTTCAATGACAAGATTTCCCTACACTTGGGGCTCTCTCACTTGCTGCTATTTATGATCTCCTCAGCTTTTGCATTTGATGATAGAACTTTCAGCCTTGCTTTCAGTAGAGTTTACCTTTTCCTTTGCAGGAAGTCATACTGGGCATGAACCTTTCCAAGAGGATCCATAACTGACTCTCTTCTGTGGGATGTATATCTAACCTATAGGCATTATGCACAAATCTTTGTTGTGCCAAACTCTGAAAGTACATCTAGGTTCCTCTTTATTCTGCCATTCCAAGGCATTTAACAGACTGCTAACAGACCCTCTTGCATTTAGACTTTTCAGGTGTGAGTCAGAAACCAAGTTCAGGGGACATATGTCAAACTTTTCAAATGGTTCTCTTAGAGCTTCTTCTCCTGTGTCCAGATAGATAAATCTACACTGATGGGAATGGGGGTAACTGTCATTTTATTTTGTTTTCATCTATTGAGGTCACTGTTCAAACTTTAAGACTACCTGAAAGCCACAATTTAATATCGTGCTACGTTCCTCAAGTTCCTCTTAACATACATAGATGAAAACCACAGAGTTTTACTATTAGCTACAGAATGTAGAAAAAATTCAGGATGTGACCAAAGATAAATTCCTGCTCCATGCTTTCTAGCCTAGAGGATTACTGCTAATTAAAAGGGGACAGAGCCTTGGGAAATAAGCAGTTCGACAGTGGGAAATGACTTCTCTCCATCAAGCCCTAAATCTGGAGGTGGGAGTACTTAGGTATGAAGATGACATTAGAAGAGGTGAAGAGAAAGCCAAAAGCAGAGGGGGCATGTGCCATACTCACTCTAGGTGGACACATCCACAGAGGGTGGAAACTCAACATCAAAATAAGAGTTTGGACTATTCAGTCAGAGAGGAGACCTCAGTTAGCCCTCCTTGAGCGTCCCTTAATTCCTGTAGATTGTGAATGAGTTCTCAATGTTCCAGATACCAAGGGCAATGCAGAAGGTGCTCAAATTAGAGCACCTAATTTGAGGTGCTCTAATTTGAACAATTTGAACCACCAAATGGTTCAAATTAGAACCAAAATACTTGACATAGGGCTGCTGTGGCTGGTGACTCTACCACAAAGGTTGCAGAAAGGCAATCAAGTCAAAATCTTGATGGAGGACTTCAAAGGACTTTCGGGTAGCAACAAAACCTAAGGTGAGAAAAAAATCAGCAATGGAGGATCTCAGGCCCTAAATAAAGCTGTAATTTCACCAAAGACTTTATCAGCAGAGTCCAGCCCAGGTATAGAACCAGTCTTAAAACCTGCAGCATAAATTAATGTAAGTCCAGAGACACCTTGTGGATCCAAGACAACCTCAAAGCCCCAACTTTACCCCTCCCCCAGCTCTGGCTTGTTCCTATGCCTATACACCTATATTTAGAACGGCCATTTATCCAAACTGGCACCTTTCCAAGAGTAAAAGGGAGTTCTACTAAAATTTATGTCAGAACAATAGACAAATACTAGGACTGTCCCAGGCAAATCAAGAGGTATGATAATATACCTATATGTCATTCTCAGGAATATGGAATGAGGAGAAAAATCTGTAAGATTCAGCATTCACCCAAAAGAGACTTTTAACTGGAAGTAAATGGATAGCATTAAGTTTAACTCATCATTTCCCAGCTAAATAGGAGAGAAGGGAGAGGACAGCCTATGAGAATTTGAAGTCAGTTAATTTTAAAAATAAATACATGTGAAACTAATATTACACTCCTTGCTCACTAACTGAAATTTAAATAAAAATTTTAAGGGCTCCTGGGTGGCTCAGTCCATTAAGCGTCCTACTCTTGATTTTGGCTCAGGTCATGATCTTGGAGTGCTGGGATTGAGCCCCACATCAGGGGGGAGTCTGCTTGTCTCCTTTCCCTCTACTCTTCCCCTTGCTTGAGCTCTCTTTCTCTTAAATAAATAAATCTTTAGAAATACATACATACATACATACATACATACATACTTTAAAAATAAGAAAGAAACAAAGAAACAAAGAAAGAAAACTAGCTATATATTCTCTGCATATCCAAGTAGTACATTTTATTTTTTAAAGATAGGGCAGCATTTAAGGGGGACAGAAAATAAGATCAGATACACATAATCAGGCACTGTATTACATTTGCTCCATGTAATATATAGGCAACACTCATTGAACTGGGTATACACATATCTTTCAGCAGTATAAACAAAACGTCCTTTCTTTATTAGGTACTATGTCAAAGTTATAGGATTTTAACTTTGTGAATGTCTACTTAATTAAAGAGAATACCAAAATATCTAATAGTTAACAGGTGTTCAGAAGTAGTATAATTACTATCCAAACATCTCTCCTTCCTTCCTAAGAATATATTGCATTGCAAATTGTGGAAGGGATTTAAAATCATGAATCATCATTTCTCTCTGGTG